CAAGCCCAGGAGTTTGAGGTTGCTGTGAACTATGATGCCACAGCACTCTACTGAGGGTGACAAATTGAGACTCTGTCTCAACAAAAAAAGAAAGAAAGAAAGAAATCCATATTGGATCCATTACCAATTAATGTGCCCTAATCACTTTTGAGACATTTTATATTTTAAGATTAGTGAAAGGTATTGCAATAGAAGGATAAATAATCAAAAAGGCAAGCCAGAAACAATGTATCCCAACTACTTGGGAAGCTGAGGTGGGAGGATAGCTTTAGGCCAGGAGTAGAAGACCCGCCTGGGAAACACAGCAAGACCTTGTCTCTAAATAAAATAAATAAAAAAATTTAGCCACGTATAGTGGTGCAAGCCCATACATAGTCCCAGCTACCTGAGGCAAGAGGATCATCTGAGCCCAGCAGTTCGAGGCTGCCGTGAGCTATGATCACACCACTGCATTCTGTCCTGGGTAACAAAACAACAGTTCATCTCTTTAAAAAAAAAAAAAAAGGAAAAAGCTAACTTTGTGTATTTAAGTTACATGTGTACAGATTTGTAGGATAAACTCCTTATATATTTCCTACCTTATATATATCCTACAACTCTCTTCTTTGTAAATAAATGATTCACTTTAATTTTAAAGGCATTAAAAAACTCAAATTTTTGTTCTCACACCTTTCAGACGGATACTTTACAAAAGTAACCAGTTTATCTAGCAAGTTCCAATATTACGTTCAAAACTGCCACCTCATTCTCTAGTAAAGATTTACCTCGCCTTACAAGCATCTAATCAAACTTATAATGAGGCTTTTAAAATTATATCATAACGTATGCTATGTATGACCTCTAGTAGCCAGCATAGGTAGATACCACATAGTTAGCTAATACTGACATCAATAAAATATACCTAAACTAAAGCCTAATTTTGTAACATTTATATTCCTGACCTCTTGTCTTCAATTTAAATTTTAATCACTTCATGAACTCCCACTTCTAGAATAGAACCCCAAATATTACCTACCCAACATTTGGCAATCCAACAATACCAATTTTCAGTGAAGTTCCAAATCTTCCAATGATTGGGGGTGGTTTAATTCCATCACCTCCCTTTTTGGGGGGCATCTGAAATGTCAAAACAAACATATGAACTATCCCCATGGAGCAAAAGCACATTTCATAACATAAAATATATTAGGGGATAATAGGAGAAGAATAAAATATTTTGCATGTATCAATCTAAAAATAACATAGCACCAACTCCACTTTATTCTTTAACAACAACAACAAAAAAAGTTCTGTAAACATATTTCATTTTGATGGCCATCAAAGGAGTCACTCCAGGAAAGTCTTATAAAGAGTGATCTAAAAATATGTGGCACCAGGAATCAAAGTTAAACTTAAAACTTTGCTACCAATTTTATTTCCTTCCAAATCGCTTACAAAACATTTTATTTCTTAACCTGACATACAGTTATATGAATGAAAGGTTCTGGAAGCAGGAACAAAAATGACAGTCAAAGAAAATTCATTCTAGAAGTACCAGCAACCAACCACCTCAACCATTCCTCTATAATCTGAAACCTGATCCTCCCCATTCACCCACAAGCCCTTTTTCACATGAATGAACGCATATCCCAAGCAAATCCCTTTCACCTTTGGCACTAGTGGTGGTTCATCGGTCCTCAAGAATTAATCTCCGTAATATACACATTGGGTATTTTTAATTGTAAACGAAATCCACGAATAAACCTTTTTATTTTACAATTTGAAACTTTTTCAGTCCCTGGCCAGTTCTGGCTCCAAATTTGTCAGGACAGAATGAATCCTACTCTACTACTGCAAACTGAAATCCCAAGGACTGCTAAGTTCACGTCTGAGAAGCTGGAAACCAAAACTGTCCCTGTCTTTTGGCCGCGAGTTGTACCTCCTGGAGCCACGCTGGGACCCTGCTCCTGTCAAGACTCAGGGTCTGATCTCTGACTTCAAGGGTCAAGGATTTCCCTTCTCTGGGTCCTGACACCTGTTCCCGGGCCAAATCCCAGGCCTCTAAAAGACAGCTGCAAAAGCAGAACCTGTCCAGTCCTCTGGCCTACTGAGAGGTGGGCTGGACGGCCGCCCAGCCAACGCAGGCCCCCATGTAACATCGGCCCCCTCTGGACTGGGCCACTCACTGGCAGTCCCGGGCTCCGGAGAAGGCTTTCCCCAGAGAGTGCCGGAGTGAGGCACCGGCCGCCCTCGGGACTCGCGGCCTAGTCCAGGAGTGCCTCATTCATCCACACACCCCACGCCACCCGCCGCCCTCACCCCATCCTGGCCACCGGGCCAGGGCCTCGCGCTGGCCTCAGAGAAACGGGCCCGGGAGCAGAAGATTCGGCGGAGAGCGCGCCCGCGAGCTCCCTGAGGGTCTCACCGTGCTCGGGGTGGGCAATGGCACAGGGTCCCAGCAGCTGCAGCGAGAGACGAGCCCTACCGGCAGCCGGAGGCGGGGAGGAAGGAGGAGAGAGTGCAGGCCCAGCCCCTCAGCCGAGCAGCACGCACGACGGCGGCGGCGGCGGAATGGGCGGGTCGGACGCTGGGCGGCCCCTGCGCGCAGGCCGCGCGCCCCACCCCTCCCCGCCCGCGCGCCCCGTCCATTGGCCGACAGGCCAAGGAGGGCGGGGGCAAGGCCGGAGCAGCGCGGCCACCCTCCCGAGTGAGGCGGGAAGGTGCTTGCTGCGACCTCCCGGGAGCGCGCTTTTTTCTGGTACCAGCACGTGGGCCTTGTGGTCCCCCTGTCTCTGCTTCTGTCTGGCTCCGTGCCAGAGTGGTCTCGCTACGCTCCCTCGCCCGTCTGCTGGCCCACACTTAACTCGCTGGACCTCGAATCACCTTCGGCCCTGACCTCCGGTCGGAATGTCGCTGTCGCCCGAGGACGGTCGAACGGCCGCACCAGCCCGGCACCGCGTGGACCGCGGCCCCAGCCCGCCTTCCTTTTGCCTATAACTTTCTTCAATCAGTCCAGACGGTGAGAAGCTGTTACACTTTCTTGAAGGAAAACAGGGTGAAGAGAAGCTTATTTTCTAAGGATTCCTTTCACTGGCCCACAGGCTGCATGCAACAGAGTCAGTCTTCCACCTTTTCTTCTTGGTGGTTGACAGCAGGGGCCTCTGAAATTTGGGAAACGGGTTTCCAGTCTGGATTCCACCGCTCCTTAACTGTGTGACCCCGGACAAATCAACTTCTCTGGGCTTCTGTTTCCTCTTAAGTAAAGTGAGGCCATTGAGAGCCACCTTAGGAGGTGATCGTGAGGGTGAAATGAGAGAATGTGTGTACAACTTGCAACAACAGTACCCACACATATAGAAAAGGCTCATAAACAGTAGCTATTGTTGATATTAGGGTCTCATCCCATCTTCTGCACCATGAGCTCCACTGTAGGAGTTCTCTCACGTAGGCCCTGGCCTTCCGTTGGCAAATAAAATAGTTGTTGGAATGAAGTAATAGCTGACCAACACTTGGGACGCTGGAAGCTTCTTTAAAAGAGACTATTGCTAATAAAGAAGTGGATGTAAATTGGTTGCTATCCCCGTGTTACAGATGAGAGAACAATATCAGAAAGGTTAATTTGGATGAAGTCACACAACTAGTAAGTGGCAGAAGCCAGATTTCAAAAGCCATTCTAACTGAAAAATCTGTTCCCTTTCAACCAGAATTCTTTCAAATAGGGACTCTCTATAGACAGCAACAGAGCCACTATTTATAATAAGATTGCATTAAGGATTTTCCTTTCCCCCATGACAGTGATCTGCCACTGGGGCTGGCATGTTCGAACCTGGTCCGGGCCTGCCAAACAACTACAACCAAAAAATAGCTGGGCGTTGTGGCGGGTGCCTATAGTCCCAGTTTCTTGGGAGGCTGAGGCAAAAGAATCACTTAAGCCCGAGTTTGAGGTTGCTGTGAACTGTGACGCCATGGCACTCTACCCAGAGCGACATAGTGAAACTGTCTCAAAAAAAAAAAAAAAAAAAAAAAAAAGAACACTGGCAACTTGATTTGGTTTTGGTTTTGTATTCTTTTTCTTAATATCATTCAGAAATATGTTGTATTTATAGTCTGTCAATTTAGTGCCCTTGTCACCAAAACCATATGTAAAACATTGGTATCTGAGTTCACTTTAGCTACAAAAAAGAGCACTAAGTAGCCCACATTGTGTGGCCACCCTCAGTATAGCACTCATGAATAGCTCTACAAAGTAATTTCTAAATCATTCACTGCCATTTTAGTAGTGAAGTTCTATAGTTGGGTTCACATCACTGCTTGTGAAAACTGAGAGGAACCATTACTTCAAAAATTTGAGAATCCCAAAGAGCCCTCTCTTCCCAGCAACCAGCCACTTCAATACTAATTGAACACATTCTCTAGTTGTGGAATAGTAGAATCATCTTCAACTTATCACTGTCCTTTGAGCCAAATCTAGGTACTTCTTCAGTCTCAATATCTTTCTGATCTACCCATTCCCTTAAATTTACACTGCCAAGTCCTTGAGTCAATTACCTGTTTCTCTGTTTGCAACTGCACCTTTCTTACCTGCACTTTTGACCACTCCCTACTTGCAAAGTACCTTGCCAAAACAGGTCACACAAATCTCAGTGAGCCAGGCAGAGTTTCACAAGTGGCCAATTGCTGCTACTGACACTTACCTGATAACAGGACTCCATTTCCAACTCAGTCACTGGGAGAGTCAATTTGTATTCACAAAAAAAGATCTGATTGGCCTAGTTTAGGTGAAGTTCTACCAAGGATTCAGTCAGCCATGGCTAGGTGAGTAGAGTCACATACTCAGTACATCCCTATGAATGACCTCTCCCTACTAATGAAACAGGCAGGTCTCAGAGAAGACCCTAGTAGGGTATCTACTATTCTACATACTAAAAGAAGACTTAGTGAAACAGGTTATTGAGAATTAACATTAATGCAACCCTAAAAAGGGACTTTGACTAGAGGAAAGCTTATCTTTGAGCCTTTTGCACAAAAGGAACTCTGTTTAGTACCTGTTGGGTGCAGTGATTAAGTGAAGCCTAGAGAAAAGAATCAGAAGCAGTCTAGAATGAAAAGAGAGCAAAAGATTTCTGTCAAAGGGGAATAAGAATAAACCAGAAGGCTGCTACTGAGGAAGGATCAATGGAATGGAAAAAAGCAGGCAGCCCTTAATTTTACTCTGCTATCATTAGCAGGTTTTTCTTTCCTTCCCAGGTTTCAGCTAATGACCAGGGAACAAATGAGTTGACCTCAGGTCACAAAGGATCCAAAGAGTGGTTTGGGGTCAGTAATTTATCCCCCAATACAGAGTAGCTTAGTTAGAAATTCAGAGATTTACTCATCCTGTACAGAAAGCTAAGAGAGAAGAAATAGCAGAAGCATAGACCGCAAGGGTGGGGAAAGGAAAGGAGGAAAACAGAAGCAGCATCATGTTCACCAGGCGCTTGTGGGGCTTACGTTTGTTGGCCAACCCTGTCCACATCTGTCAGAGGTATCACAGAGAAAAAACCTACAGTAGAACCTCTGTAAGTTGACCGCCCAAGGGACTGTAACAAACTGGTCAACATATGGAACTAGGCTTACTGTATTGATACATACATGTGGTGCAT